CCAAGAAACAGCGACAATTTTCAGCGACTATGACTTTCGTCCAAGGATCCCAGCAGCAAGAAAACGCCGCAGGCGCGGCCTCGACGAGGACAATGAGCCGATCGCGAACCCTGAATTTGCGACCGGCGGAGAAAGCAACGGGCGGGTGACGAACCAAGACGTCCGACAGTATTTCAACAGCTTCAACGAGGCGCTCAAGCAACAGACCGAAATAATTGAGACAGCGAGGGCAGAGGTCCAAGAACTGAAGGCCGAACAACAGCTCCTGCGAACCCACAATAAGGAACTCCGGGAAGAGGTTCAAGCCCTACGGGCCAGACTGGAGACACAACCGCCGAACACCCCCGTGCACAGATCCTGGGCGGAAGTGGCCGCTGGCAACCCTCTGCCAGACCCCGCGAGAACCGTCCCGCGCCCTAGAAAGGAACCCAACTGTGTCCGAATTAGTACTGCAGCAACCCTAGATGAAGACGTTGACAATGCCCGATTCTCGAGAGCCCTGCCCACTGAAGCAGCGAACACACACATCAGGACCGCCCTGCTGAACGCCGAGACCACCAAAGAAGTGCAAGTCGCGGGCATTGGTACTACCAAAACGGGATATGTCATCCGATTCCGGGACACCCAGTCAGCGGAGACAGCCCGGAACAGCACCGAGTGGCTGGAGGAGCTGGGAAACAACACCAAAGTAGTGAAGCCCCGGTTTGGGATCGTGGTTCACCGAGTCCCAACTGAGGACTTTGAACTAGAAGGAAACAAGAAACAGGGAATCGAGAAGATTATGGCTGAGAATGACCTCCATGACAAGGAATTCCGGGTCGAAGATATCGCATGGTCGAAGAAGAGGGACATGCCTTTGGGGAAATCTGCCTCGCTGGGGGTCTGGCTGGACTCACCGGAGGCAGCAGAATGGATTATCGACAACGGACTACTAGTGGGGCAAAGGTTCATCGGGAGTGTGGAACCCTACCGGGTGGAGAAGAAGAGGTGCCGGCGCTGCCAACAATTTGGCCACCTAGCCTGGTCGTGCAAGGAACGAGTGAAGTGCGGACATTGCGCAGGTCACCACGACCAGCGGCACTGCTTCCCAGGAATAAGACCGAGATGCTCAGACTGTAATGGAGAACACCCGACAGGCGACCGGGCATGCCAGACATCCCCTAACCCCAGTCCATCCCAATGACAGCAAACCTTCGCATCTTACAGTTGAACATCATGAAATCGAGGGCAGGGATGGAAGCCCTCATCAACGATCATCAAAGCCAGAACCTGGACCTGCTCCTGATTCAGGAACCGCCAAAGACAGCATACCACACCCATGTTAATCATAGCGCTTGGCGACTCTACCGACCGACCCACCCAGAAATACCGCGGTTCCGCAGCCTCCTCTATGTCAACCGGAGGATCTCCACATCATCACACCGCCAAATCCAGTGTGGTCACCCAGATGTGGTGGCCGTTAAGATCTGGACCCCAGAGCTCCAGTACCTGGTGTTCTCGATCTATATCCAGCCAATCGCGTTGCATGACTCATTTGAAGCGAACAGCGCACGCGAAATCTTGGCAGAAATCCAGCAAACCATCCAGGAACAAACAGAGCAGGGCGAACGCACGAACAAAATTATTCTGGCCGGAGACTTCAACCGCCACCACCCGGCATGGAGCCACCGTGCGGTACATCGCGGCTTCGCAGAACACGCAGACGAACTAATAAATTTCTTTCAAGACCACGAGCTGCAATGGTGCCTGGCCCCAGGCGAGACGACATTCTGGTCCCTGAACAAACCTGGGACGACTTCAGTACTCGATCTCACACTTACTAACGACATGACGCGGCTGATCAAATGCCAACTTGATCATGACCACTACGGGTCCGACCACAGGGGCACGTACTCGGAGTGGAGCCTCCAACCAGAGCAAACTAGGAACCCCAAACCGAGAAGAGCGTACGACCGAGCAGACTGGGCCCGAGTAGGCCAAACGATAATGAGGTCGATTAACCCACAGTTGAGAATTCAATCCCAACGGGACCTAGATCAGGCGGTCAACCATCTGATTCAAACTACAACAACCGCGCTCGACCAGCATGTGCCAGTACAGGCCCCATGCCCATACTCGAAGCGCTGGTTCACAGCAGATCTCAAGATCCAACAGGTGGAAGTCAACCAAACCCGCCGGAGGTGGCAAGACAGTTGTGCCACCCTTGGACCCAACCACCCAACGACAAAGGCAATGTTTGCAGAAATGCGCGAAAGAAGACGAAAATGGACAAGAGCAATTGAAAAAGCAAAAACAAGCCACTGGAGGGAGTTTCTTGACAAAGCAGGCGAAGGCCATCTATGGAAAGCAGCCACCTATATGCGCCCACGAGATGCTTATACGAGCATCCCAGCGATTAAAGTGGGCACGGAGGAGGTAACTGACAACCAAAGAAAAGCAGAGACGTTCCTTGATTCCTTCTTTCCAAAAATGGCAGAACCCGAAGTGAAAGTAGAAAGCAACCCCACAGAAGAAGAACTGCCATGGGAGCCGATCACTGAACAGGAGATTTACCGATCACTCCGAGCCGCCAAGGGAACTACGGCCCCAGGTAGAGATGGAATTCCCACGCTTGTATGGAAACATCTGTGGATGTACCTGAAAGAAACGATTACCACGGTCTTCACCAAGTCAGTGGATCTGGGCTACTATCCCAGACAATGGAAACAGGCGCGGATCGTAGTGCTGCGGAAGGCGGGAAAGCCAGACTATTCGGCGCCGGGAGCATACCGACCGATATCACTGCTGAACACGCTGGGGAAGCTACTAGAAGCTGTTATGGCCCGACGACTCTCCTACTGGGCGGAGAGATTTAAGCTACTCCCGGACACACAATTTGGAGGTAGACCAGGACGTAACACCGAGCAAGCTCTGCTGGTACTGGCAAACGCAGTATACCGAGCTTGGGAACGGTCTAGGGTGGTAACGCTGATCGCGTTCGACCTAAAAGGCGCGTTCAATGGAGTCCACCAAACGAGCCTTGACGCTCGGCTGCGAGCTAAAGGCATCCCACCAAAGGCCCGGCAATGGATCCGCAGCTTCATGGAAGACCGCCAAGCGAGCGTCACATTTGATGATTTCGAGAGTGAAAGTCTACCACTGGAGCATGCCGGCCTGGCACAAGGATCCCCACTCTCACCGATTCTGTTCGGATTCTATAACTCGGACCTGGTGGACCAAGTGGTAGACCAAAATGGCGGTGCATCAGCTTTTATCGACGACTATTTCCGCTGGCGATCCTACCCAACAGTGGAAGAGAACATCAAGAAGATCCAGGAAGAAGACATCCCCCGAATTGAAGAGTGGGCGCGGCGAACGGGTGCATCCTTTGCCGCCGAAAAGACTGAATTAATTCATCTTACCAGGCGGAAAGCGACCCACGGAAGAGGACAAATTGTCATCGATGGCCAGGCTACCAACCGGCCGACACTGCGAAACTTCTTGGAGTGATCTTTGACAAAGAGATGCGCTGGAAGGAACATGTCCAGGAAGCGGTTAAACGGGCAACTAAAGTGAACATAGCCCTGAGCGGGCTCAGACACCTCCGACCGGAGCAAATGCGCCAGCTATACCAAGCATGCGTAACACCAATTCTAGACTACGCATCCACAGTCTGGCACAATCCGCTCCGAGACAAGATACATCTACGACTTCTGGAGACGGTACAGAGAACAGCTCTTATCCGAATCCTTTCAGCCTTCCGAACAGTATCTACGGCTGCACTCGAAGTTGAGTCCTATATCCTACCAACTCACTTGCGACTCAAGCAGCGGGGACAAATAGTGGCTGCTCGCTTCAGCACTCTGCCAGATGACCACCCAGTTCACGGAGTAATCAGCCGAGCAAAGGAACGCAGCACTTATATCGGCAGCGGGGCCCGCTTTCCCCTAGCCGAAACAATGCGAACCATGGACCTTGGGCGGCTGCAGGCCTTGGAAACAATTGACCCCAAACCACACGCGCCATGGCGGAGCCAACCCTTTACGGAAATTGAAATTGAGCCGGATCGAGAGAAAGCGCAGGCCAACGCACTGGCGCAGCAATCCACAACAAGCATCTCGGTCTTCTCAGACGCTTCAGGCAAAGAGAATCAACTAGGGGCCGCAGCAGTAGCTCTCGACCACAACCAGCAGATAATGGGGTCACGACAAATCAGTATCGGCTCAATGGAATACTGGTCGGTCTACGCGGCCGAGCTCATGGCAATCTACTATGCGATCGGACTGGTTTTTCAGCTAGCGCAGAAGCATGCTACGACAACTGCGACCCAAGGCCCAGCGACAATCCTCAGTGACAGTATGTCCGCGCTGCAAGTAATCGCCAACTCATGGAACAAATCGGGCCAGCGAATCATCCAAGCTATCCATCAGTCAGCCGCAGAACTAAAGGCACGAGGAATCCCACTGCGATTACAATGGGTCCCGGGACACTGCGGCGATCCTGGGAATGAAACGGCGGACCGTCTGGCCAAGGAAGCGGTGGGCGCAGAAAACAAACACCCTTTCCAGCATCTGCTATCGCGGGAGAAGGCTTTCATCCGCAACAAGATCAAAAGAGAATGGGAACAAGAATGGAAGACCTCTACGAACGGAGGGCACCTCCGACGCGTGGATCAGGCACTGCCCGCGAGCCGCACGCGCCGACTGTACGGCTCACTTCCCCGCAACCGAGCCTACCTGCTGGCGCAACTTCGGACCGGCCACTCGTGGCTCGCCACCTATGCCAAGCAACATGGCTTCCGAGATAACGAGCAGTGCGAATGTGGAGCGATGGAAACCGTGGTCCACGTATTGATAGACTGCCCGCGGCTGAGAGCGCTACGGCAAGAATTACGGCGGAAAATCGGAGGCGGGTTTAACAACGTTTCAGATATGCTAGGAGGAGCAGGCCAAGGTAAGGAAGGTAAGTTGGAAGGTGCCACGCAGAACGGTAGCGTCCTAGGGGCGGTACTGGATTTTGCAGAGGCGTCGCAGAGATTTCGAAGTCGCGCGCCACGAGGGCGGCAGAACAGAACACCAGGCAACGGCCAACACAGGCCTTGACGAGGCTCCAAGTTCGTCAGGAAAGTAATAGTCTACAGTTAATGGATGTACATAGTGAGTAGATAGTGGTTCCCTGCATATCGCCTTAAGGCGAGGGGCCAGCGTATGAATCATCATCATCATCATCATCACTGTACCATCTCAAAGGTATGGCACAGGAACACGAAACACTTTTTGCCTCTAGGAAAGTACATGAAGGGTTGCCATATAATCCACTAGTCCACTTAGTCGGCGTGGTCTTGCAAGTGCAATAGTTGCTTCCGTAAGTCATCCAAGTATGCGCCAAATGTTATAGAGGCATATGTTGCTCCATCCCAACCGAGTTCACCATGGAGTATGGCCATGCTCATTTCCTTTCTGATTATGCCCAATGTTCTTTCGAGATCATTCACAGCCAGGCAAATGGCATAGTAGAATGAGTCCGGATTCCCTTTCTGGGAATGGCCCAACAACATAGAAAGTAGTCCGAGAAGTGAATAAAGTTCGAAATGTATCGGGTTTGGGTGGTTGCTTAACCATTCATCTATTAGAGTTGGAAAAGCTTCGATGAGGATTAACAGTATGTTGTGTAGGCTCAATCGATCACTCTGAAAGCCAACTAGATAGACTGTGCGGACCTCATTAAGGAAAAGAAGTATGTCCTGCAGAAAGAATGATACCTGGACTCGCCGCGGAAGCACTAAGCCACAGGCCACCTCGTGGCTTGCACCAGACAGTCGTCTGTCTCCATAGTTGCAGATTCGTTCAGTTGCCGTACAGACCGTTAAGAATGTTTCTGATATGTCTAGCCGTGCTAAGCATAATTTGACAAACTCCTGAGATTCTTTCGATGTGTGATGTGGTTGCGTTACAGCATGTGCAGCCAGCTTTACCAAGACACTCATAACAGCAATCTCAGAAATATCTGTACCCCTGATAGTGTGGTGCAAGTCCTGCATCGCGTGATAAGAGTTTTGGAAATTCACTGTAGAGACGGTGGTCAACGGTGTCATGGCAAGTCGTATTCCAATGCCGATGAGGAACTTGGATGGATCGGCATTCTCGAGAAAGGCTGTGTAAAGTTGGCGACTGGTAGTCTGAAAGGTATGCTGGTAGCTTATCCCTCCAGATAATTGAGAGGATACATGTTCAGCTATTTCAGGCACTAGGCCAGGGATGGCTTTGATAAGGTCCCTGAGGGTCTGTCAGTAAAATTCTAATAAGCTGCTTGCGGTAAACCTACTGTATATTCTCACACATCTTGTTGCCTGTTAGCAAAAAGATTATTCTATTAGGTCGGGAGAACTAGCTGTTCTTATATCTATCCTGCCTACTTCATCGCGAGACGTGCCACAATGGATATAAAAACACGCAAGGCTGGCAAAGTTTTGATCTAAGTGAACCAGCCTCCTTTTCTATGAGTACCTAGTCATTTCCGATGCACACGCTAGACAAGGATTGGTATATAACCAATTTTATATATTGGAGTAGCTAAGATTTTCCGCCTTTCATGACCAAACCGGGTTGACTCGCCGACAGCCCGACAGTAAATCTCTACTCCGTCGGTAGCGCGGCCTCATATAGATTTGCACAGGAACCCTCCTGCCCTTACTCATACTGTAAGCCTAATACAACAAGGCCAGCAAGGTACATACCAGAGCAGTATCCTTTCCCACAAGTAGAGCTCATATGTATTGTATCCTTTCGGGTTGTTCCCGGGCATTCATTACTGAGAGCCAGGACGCACCGAACGACACGAGGCTGAGGTTCCAGATAGCCGCAGCTATATTTAACATGACCGTAGAAGCACATCCTGGAAAAAATAGCATATCAGTTATATCCAACCTTTCTTATACTATTCAGTGGTTCGAAAGAAGGAAAGGGTTATTCACTTTCACTTTGAGGTTTGAAATGACTATAAATCAAGTTATCTAAAACAAAGGAGGACAAGGCAATTGGAAATCGAAGACAGAAAAGCACAGAACAAACAAGAATGATGGAATAAAACAATTAATGGATGTAGAGATACACATTAGGTGATCGGACCACATGAATTTATGACTTCCCAGATCCCAAAGAAAGCCCAGTCAAATCGGATCTCTTTCCTCTTAGTACAACGCAAGCTGATAATGATTACGGGCACAAACAAAAATGCTTCCCCCCCCCCTCTTCTCCATTATTGTCAGATCACCTAGCATTACGGTCATCTGATTTGGCTACCGAGTTGATGGCGGTGGAGGTGGTGCACCTGGCTTTTTCACCCCTGTGGTGTCGTATGCGCCTCGGCCGGGCATATTGGTTCAAATGCCCTGAGTAGTGATTGGTAGTCTAGATGATCCGTAAGCTACATTGCCCTTGTAGAAAAATGTCCAAAAAATAAGAATAAGAACCGAGAGACGGAATACTCACTGTACAGCGTGGTTGCATGCATGTATCAAGCGGCAATGCAGGCAAATGATGATCTACTTTATATAGATACCGGGCGGTTACTTGAAGTCATTTCTCATTAGCTGGGCGTAGTTCTATTCACTCGTCTAGACCTTGTTCCCATCCCAATTCAAGTTACTTCGCAGGCTGGTTAGTCTCGTGCGGCAGAATAAGCCAAGATCCAGCCAAGGGCTCATCCCAATGAAACTAGAGGCATGCAGAGTGTTCTAGGCCAGTATTAGGCTGATGCTGGAGGAGAATATCCTTACTGGACCGCTGGTACAGGGTAAAATTAGGCCTCATAATGCACGTTCCCCACCACAACAGGCTCTAGCAATCTCCGTTTATTTGAAAGCTCTGTTGCAGCAAGATACTACGAACAAGTATGACGGAAGGATCCCGTTCCTTCAGCTGAGCATCACGTCAGCTATTGGGGCTGGACTTTGCCGATCAAATGGTTGCACAGCTTTGGTCGAGTATCATGGCTTTAGGGCCAAATTAAGATTGCTTCCTTGTCATTTCTAAGCACACTCATTTTCTCTCATGACCACATGCACTACACATACTTCTACAGACCACCCTAGACCATTCTCCTGCATACACAGCAAAATATTTTCACGTGCATACGAGGGCTTCCTTTCACACAATTTGTTTCCGAGCCACCTCGAGCACTCCGATACATTATAGGCCGTAACATCGCTTATAATATCTGCTGTTCTGACGCTATAAGCTTTTAGATATTATCTTGTATGCGAAAATGTTTTTCCTTACCACAATTTAACTGATGCCAAACTCCCTCCTTCCGGTGATGAGTATAAAGCATAGAGCAAACATTAATCGATATGTGGATGGGGAGAGACTGTGGCTGATTCGAGGTCTGGAAAGTACCTTTCCTTGAAGAACGGACGTAGGAGAGATAAAATGAGGAAGAGTCCTAATAACACCAGTACAAGTAATATGCTTGCAAAAATAAGAATGTTCATGATCAGTGTGATGTGCATATTTCTTGACAAGATACTTGAGGCAATTTATGTTGTTCATTGCTCACGACTGTTTTCACGTATTAGGTAAATAGAACGCACCAGGACTGAAAGTAAGAGTATGATTTCAGCTCGAGCCTTCCACATTATTTACATCGCTGTTCAAGATAGATGAAGATCTTCCAGCTCCCGCCACACGCCAATAACCACGCCTCAAATTTCTTCATCCTCTTTGTCCTTCGCAAGCCAGTCTCCTTTTACGATATCGTACCGTTGCTTGAGGTAGTCCCAGTCTGTTTCTGATATACGTCCCTTAACACCCTGGAATTTCGATTTAAGAAGTTCTTGATGTTCCTTGGAAAGATCCGAGTTGCGAACGCTTTTCGGGCATGACACGAAATAGGGTTTGTCGGGATCTTCCTGGAAACGAGCTTCGAGTACCATATGGTATTGTCCATTCCGAATTACGATATGGGAGAATCCTGTGAAAAAGGATATTCCAAATCTTTTCTCGGCTTCGATAACATCAATTGGCTGTTCTATTGGCCGGCCTGGTTTGGACATTGGTGGAACATTTTCATATTTCGCAATAATTTCTTTTGTCGCATCGAGTGCTGTTGGTGTTGCGTTGTCCGAGGTGGAAATTAGGGCTTTCCAGGATCCGACGAGGCTCGTGATGCAGAACATGTTGGATTGATAGGGAATTGCTTTGGATGGAGACAACAAAAAGATGGATTGGTCTGTGCCAAATTGCGGTGAGAGTATAAGAAAATTCCGGTATCTTTATAGCCAATATTTCTTCTATATCCTAGTCATAGAGTTTATCAAGGTTGACAACAAATGGAGTTGATCGCATAACAGGGAAGAGATTCTTTCAATACCCAACCATAGGATTTCATACCGCGGAGATCTTCATGTGGTCCTTGGTCTCCATTGTCGATTGTCTTACACTAGCCATCCATACTGATCTTGAACTAATCATCTCTTGCAGTCTAAGCTGAAGTTCTAGTAACGAGTTACCCTGCTCAATAATGCACCGGTATTCTTTCCATGCAGGTCAAAGCCCACCGGCAGGCGCTTGTTCAGTGGGTTACCGACAGGGATCTAGTTCATACCGGTCTCTAATAGGCATTGGTTGTCATACCATGATTGTCTTGTAACTATTGTTGGTCACTTCGTAACCAATGAAACCATGCGAAAGAAAAGCTAGTGGCAAGCGTTCAGCCACTACTAAGCTAGCCCGAGACACACTTTCTGATTAACACTCTATAGGTACGCAATCGGATGGAGCATGGTCCAAAACTGCAGGAGAGGGTAAATTTGAGTGAACTGCAGTGAATGAAAATGCCTGGTTGTGACGATGGCACAGTTAATGCTATATTGGAGCGCTTTCTACCCTGTTTACTACTCTAATGACTGTAACTTTCTGGAAGTACCTCGGCAGGTACCGGGGTCCTCTCCTAAGGCGGAACATTGTTTCAGGTGACCATTGTGTAAATATTTGTGGACCACTGTAATGGCAGCCACCCTGTAAGCATTGTTGTCGACTCGTAAGTATTGGTAGTCACTTGTACTTATTAGTGGTTACACTGTAAGTATGGCGGCCACCATGTAAGCATTGTTGCCGGCGCGTAAGTATTGGTGGTCACTTGTACTTATTAGTGGTTACTCTGTAAGTATGGCGGCCACCATGTAAGCATTGTTGCCGGTGCGTAAGTATTGGTGGTCACTTGTACTTATTAGTGGTTACTCTGTAAGTATGGCGGCCATGCAAGCATTGTTGTCATACCCAAAAAGGCAATAGGGCTCTCAGTTACTGCGAGCCCGACAGAGCACGTGATAGGTTACGTGACTGTTTAGGCGGCCATCAACATAGCGATATCCATAGCGCTCTCCGCACCCTGGGCTGTCACAGTGGCTCACTGTCATAGATGCCTTTCTTGAATACGTAATTACTCGAAAGGGAAGTGGAGCAAGAGATGGCACCTCTTAGTCAGTCAACCAGATGCATGCCTTAATTTTACCGCGCAGTGACCATTGACGACTTGTACCAGCCCAGGAGGTAGCATCGAATCATCTTCTTAGTATTTCACACGGCGCTATTCCAAATACCCCGGTCCGAGCATATCTGCGGGCTAGCCTGGAGATTTGAAGGAACCCTTTGACCTGCGCTCGGAACTTCGTAGGTCGCTGGCGGTTTACCCGGAGCCTATCCAAGTTCGTGTTTTACTATTGCACAGCCTTTTCAGAAATTACGCCCAATAGATAAAATGGCGCATACTATGAAGGGCAGTGCCTAGGTTGCGATCTGGCTATAGTACGCGTCGCTTGCTCTTATGTTGAATCGCAAAGGCCAATATAAACTCTGTACTTCCAGTTGAACTCTTCGAAAGCATGCTCAGCAGTCGTTCGTCTTACCCAGCCCTTTCTTGCGAATTTGAACAAGCCTTTATTGGTTTTATATTGATCCTCGCCTAGTGCTGTGTCAACCAACATGTCCAAGGTCTTGAAGCAATTTGAAAACGCCATTTTTAAGGGAGGGCTTTACAAAAAGCTCTTCCAGAAACAAACCCCTGGCAAGCGCATCGCACCACCACCGGCTAAGGACAATGACTCCATATATCAACTACGTCTAGACGCCGGCGAGTCCATAGATGGGAAGAAAAATGTTTATTTGCAGGTCAACTCCCAGGCCAAAAATGATGCTCTCAAAGCTTTCAGGAAGAAAAACGGAACGGATGCGGATCTGGCCTCCGGTTCCATCGATGAGAATACCCCCGATGAGTCGCAGGAGGAAGCCGCGCGGAAGCTCTGGGAGGATCTGGCAAAGCAAGCGAAAAATAGGCTTGGCTGAACAACGCTGTCTGCTAATGTATGCACCCTTTTTATACGTTGTGCAGATATCGTTCTAAGGACTTCTGTGTAGGGCATCCCAAGAATGTTGCTACGTTTGCAACGGGACGACATGAACTAGGAGGGTTTTCCGACCGTGATGTAAAGCTGCTGCTGGATTTGACTTCTCATCTACATTTTGATGTTATTGAATGACTTTCTTTCCCGTTTCAACGTTGATGTTTTGCAGTAATTGGATGCCTTCTACTTCCATTAGAATTATCGTAAGATCAGTGCACCGATCTCAATCTGACCCCCGGCAAAGGCCGTTTCGTTCGCGCCTCCCGATGATTGACTGGTAGTCAAAAGCATCAGTCAACGCGGAAAGATTTTTGAGTAGGGCACTCGCTATTTTCGCCAGTCGCGCCATTTAATATGCTCTCCGCTCGTGTCATACGTGTGCCATATGAGCATAACCCTACTGGCGTAAATCATCCAGCGCCTGGCGAGACAAGGAGATCGACCCTCTCTTCTTATCCAGCTATCATTATATGTTAGCCAAATCATCTCCTCTGTTCTTACGCATTCCTTGAGGATACCCATGATGACATAATTTCGAGGCATCGATGCCGGATGCGATTTGTATATTGGAACATCTTCGATGACTTCCCCGAGGTTGGAAGCTAACGTAATCAACGGTCGGGCGGGCCACACGGTCAGGCGGGCCACCCCTTCGAAAACACCATCTTGAATCTCCTACCTGAGGCTTTTCAACCACCACAAATGGCACCAAAAGCATCTATCCCATCAAAATCACAGGTGGAGCAGGAGGGCAGGATTCTTCTTGCTATTGAAGCTATTCAGAAAGGCCAATTTGCTAGTATACGCGAAGCAGCGCGTGTTTATAACGTCGCTCGAACTACCCTCCAGGCTCGACTATCTGGACGCAATTTTGCTAAAGATATGACCAACGCACGTCAAAAATTATCAAATAATAAAGAGAAATTGCTTGTCAAATGGATTTTATCTCTAGATAAGCGAGGAGCAAGTCCCCGGCCGCTTGATATTAGAGATATAGCTAATTTAATAATCTCTAAACGAGGTTATTCAACTATCAAACAAGTAGGCATCAACTGGGCCTACAGCTTTGTTAAACGCCACGAATCTCTACAAACCCGATTTGCTAGACAACTTAACTATCAAAGGGCCAAAATGGAGAATCCTGAAGTTATAAAAGACTGGTTTAATCGCGTATAGGAAGCTATTCAAGAGTACGGGATCTCATCAGATGATATATATAATTTCGATGAAACGGGATTTGCTATGGGAATGATTACTATATATAAAGTAGTAACTAGTTCCCAGAGAGCAGGTCGGCCGTCCCTAGTTCAACCAGGAAATCAGGAATGGATCACTGCAATTGAGTGTATTCGATCTAATGGAGAGGTTTTACCTTCGACCCTAATCTTCAAAGGCAAAACACATCTAAAGGCATGGTATGAAGGTCAATCCATTCCCTCTACCTGGGGGATTGAAGTCAGCGATAACAGTTAGACTACTGATATAATTGGTCTTCGATAGCTTCAAAAACACTTCATTCCGTTGATTAGAGGTAAACCAGTAGGCAAATATAGCCTCCTAGTCCTCGATGGCCACGGTAGTCATTTGACACCTGAATTCGACTAATCCTGTGCTGAAAATAAGATTATATCTATTTGTATGCCTGCCCATTCGTCCCATCTGCTTCAGCCTCTTGATGTTGGTTGTTTTAGCGTGCTTAAACGCACGTACGGAGGCATGGTTCAAAAGTAAATACAATACGGCTGCAATCATATCGACAAGCTTGACTTCCTAGAGATCTATCCCAAAGCTCACCAATGTGCTTTATCAAAGTCAAACATAATCAGTGGTTTTAGAGCAACAGGTCTTGTTCCTTTAGATCCTGATCGAGTGCTTTCTCAGCTCAATATTCGCTTGAAAACACCACCAACCCCGGATAGCCAGTCAAGTGGCTCAGTGCTTCAAACACCATATAATATAAAGCACCTTTTAAAGCATCAAAATACAGTAGAACGCTCACTTCGAAAACGGCAAGCAAGTCCAACTTCACCTACACACTCTACACTACGTCAGCTTCTCAAAGGGTGTGAGCTAGCAATAACAAACTCAATCATACTGGCTAAGGAGAATGCGGAATTACGCGCTAACCATGAAAAGCAGCTACAAAAGAGGAAGCGTTCAAGGAAGCAGGTGATCTATACAGAAGGCACTACCGTTGAGAGGCCCAGAAAGCTATACAGGAAGTGGAAGAGGTTCAAAATGATGAAGATATTGAGGTTGAACCTCAATCTCAATATACGGAGACCCCCTCGCGCGCGCCTCCACGCTGCAGTAATTGCTTTAATATTGGCCACCGACGTACACAGTGTTCTAAACCACCTACTAATTAGTTAGATAGCTTTTTTTACAAGCATTTGTGTTGATTTAGAGGCTTCATTTTGATCATATCGGGTAACCCTACCAGGAGATGGCCCGCCTGACCGTGTGGCCCGCCCGACCGTTGATTACGTTAACTAGTTAACCAAGGGGCTGAGTCAGCAGGCCGAATGGGGGGAGTCCACCGATCTGGTACGTCATACTAGCTGCATTGGTAACGAGGGGTTATTACTGGTGCGCGTCTAGTCACGACTGCCCTAGAATTATGTCTGTAATGGAAAAGCAATCAAATACGATGCGAATTTTAGTCGAGATGGGTGTGCCAACCCGTTGGTGCCTGAATCTGGGCATCTAATCCGGCGCAGAGAATAATACTGTTCATTTTTGAGTGGGGCCCATCAGGCACAAAATAGTTGCGCACGTGGCACGCTTCGGAAAATGTAATAATTACACGATGAGCCCCTCTTTTGCTTCTCTTCAGCTTTCAAGCACCAAGAAACCATTTCTATTACGAGGTAAGTTAGATACAATTTCCCTTTGATGAAGAAGCAAATGTCTAGTAATCCTTAAGTTAGTGTCTTATTCCCTATGCGAGATGGCCCCGACAACTGTACGAAAGATGGACATCGACTCCGAAGGCCAGAAATCATTGGAATCACTCCAGCGGGACATTAAACACGCGGTCATAAAGAAAACCGAGAACGGCAATGTACAATATTCAAACAGGAGTCTTGATGCAACAGTCGCACCACTTCTCAAGTCTTTGCATCTGGATGTAAGTAGAACTGAACTGAGGCCAGGCTTAGCTGACCGACCCTGCAGCATCTAGCCTATGCAGCGTGGAAAATCGTGAAAACCATAACTATTGAAAACGAGACCGGCCCTGAGTATATTATACCTGTCGAAACGGTCCAAGGAGATCCAATAATTTCTATTCCTACCAAGGATGAGAACTGCCCTGAAGGGATATTTACGCCAAGCGAAAGTCTACGTCCTGGCTCCTATGTATACCATGACGGTACTGTGCGCCTAACTGCAGGACTAATTTGCCTTTTCGTTGGAAAGCCGCAACTAAAATTGACTGCATGATTGATTACTCCTATTTATCAACAGGCTATTTGTCAACCCTGTTAAATCTGCTGTGGTGACTATCCATACGGCGGGACGAACCATGTCCATGATGGTTGATTCATAACAGAAAAGAGCCGGAATTCCGGGATGGAAAGGTTTCTAGAGAGCTGGACGGATTGAAATGAGTCTCCGAATTGTCATGTGATGCGTATTATTCAACAGCGGCACAATAGAGTTCCGATATGTGCTTTGTAGGCTCTCTAGGGAGACAGGAATCTTCGAACAAGGAAGATCTATGGCTGTTTGTTTTGTATTATCGAAAGCAATAGAGTCTCGAGGCAAGTTTTCAAAGTATCCAGAAGGATTAAACCGAGGCGGCGAGATTTCGAAGGGTTGCGTTTCTTCCGGTCGCATATCATGAATACCATTCTGCTGGAATGTACCTGGCAGCCATTCCACAGAGGCAGAAGGGTCTAGGCAAGGGATCTCTGTCGTTGCCGGTTCTGTACTATTCAAAGCAATGGAGTTTTGAGGTACCTGAGACAAGTTTCCCAAGTAGCCAGAGGGAATGAAACCAGGTGACAGGCAATTTGAAGGTCCTGTTTCATCTAGCTGTATATTACGCACATCACTCTGCTGAAATGTTCGTGGCAGACTCTCTAGAGAGGCAGAAGGGTTGAAATAAAGATCCGCGTTTGCCGACCACGTACCATAGAAAAGCTGGTCAACGTGTTGAGGCATCTCAGGAAGGTTTTCCAAGGAGTTAGAGGGATTGAAGTAAAGATCAAATAGATGCTCTTCCGTCTGCATGGGAGCCGCATTCCAAGCTTCGGCTGATGGATTGAGTACCTCTTCAGAGACTTGGCCTGTCAGTGTGCCATCGGGGACATGCGAAGAGGTTTCCCCAGACTCCGGCGGTTTCTCTGGGGAGCTGAAAGTATCGGGCCGTGGCCTCGGGTAATAAGAGTTCAAAATGAGATCCTGTTGAATTGAATTTCGAATGACTGGGGTTTTATTTCGATGAGAGGTAGTCGGAGGCGCTGAAGGTTTTTGTGTATCCTTAGTTCTTGCGGCCATTTTGCGGAGACGCCTTCGTGTCGAATTCGAGGGTAGCCGCAACTTTGAATTTTCAGGTCGCTTAAATGGACAGGTGTTTAGAATGCATTCAAATGCCTTCTGTAGGTCATTCTGATGCTTTTCATCGTAGGTCGCTTCCCCGAATGCAACAAGCGCCTCCGTCTCAATATTTTCTATCTTAGCCCTTTCAAAGCTAGGACAAAGTTAGCTGGTATATAATTCTCAAGAAGGGCAGACTGACTTAGATGAAGTAGCTTGCAGGGGGGTTAATACCAACTCTTTCCTCGTCAGAGACGAATACCTTTGCCCATACCGCTGAAGATGGGTGCATTTGTCGCATAACTTCTTATTATCCTTCCCGGGATAAGCTTGTCCCACAATATTTCTAACAGCTGCGGTAAGAAACTTGACTGACTGTGCCTGGGGAGATGCTCGCAATCGCAGTATTTCCCTTTGAATGATATCATGAAGAATGATAAGAAGTACCCTACGGCGTGCAGAGACTTTCTCACAGTCCTCAGTATTTCCTTCACAGTCTTCGAAGGCTGGGACTTTGGTCTCCAAGCATTCCCGTACCCACGCGCTTTCTGTTTGGAAGGGCTCAAATCCCCAAAACTCAGCGGAAGGGTTTGAGGTCCAAATGCCCAAAGTATCAGATGTAATATTACTTCTCCATTGCCTTGTAAGAGCGACAAGCCGTGTTATTTGCATTTTCGATAGTTTCTGGCCACTTTTGGACGTCCATTCCCGGAACCAAATATCCGCGTCCATCTCGAAAACAACAGCGCTGAACCGGACAGAATGTTATAACTGAACATACTATCAAACATAAATAATCAGCATTTTGCCCAGTAACAAGTGCATAATTACTTACAAGGTTCCCACTATCACATCAACCGCAGATTCACCCGGTCGGAAAATGGCTGAGGTGAAGTGATGCGAAACAAGATCAGTCCTCAAACCCCGCAATTACTACGGAGGTCACCAGGATGCTTTCTAAGCTTATCAAGTCACGTGATCTACACATATAATATTGCTTATTAATCATGTCAGAGCAGCAAAACGGCTCTGGAGAACTTAGAAATAAAACGATAACTAGTTACAAGTCAGAGCAAGGGAAAGTCCCGCGTCAGCGCCATCCTCTTTCATAGTAGCTCAGCCAGACAGTTCCGACTGCAAGTGCAGAAGAATATTTGCTGGGAGGGTCTCCCAAAGAGACGGAATTCCAGCTCTTGTCGATCATGCTCCGAGCTAAATGCCTGGTGTACTTGAGATGTAGACTTTGCGCTGCAACCACGAATGGTCACAGAATGACCATCAATACTTACGCGCTGACCACCAATACTTACGCGCTGACTACCAATGCTTACGCGCGACCACCAATAGATTAGAAGCGATTCAATACACGTCGGTCACCCAACCATTTGCCAAGAATCAAAAGAGCTAATATATTATGGCAATATCTATGTAATGTTTTTATCCTTACATAGAATCACCTGTAAATGGCGTATATATTACCATAATCTAGTTTACTTGGACCGGTTCCTATTACAGTTAGTCCCACTGGCTCCTGGCCCGCCCCTGCGGTCGCTCGCTGGATTCAAAGCATATGAACCTGCACTTCTACGCTTGTGCCTCTTCGATGTCGTTGACAGACCTCCAACATAAGCCATGTTGCCGTTCATGAGGAACTTGAGGAGACTCCGACGCAACCAGCAAATCTCGCAGATGTCAATCGTTTGCCGAGGTAAGGGGATGACGAACGTTGCGCAGGGAGGGCGTCACTAAGGTAAATAAGCAGGTAAACCCATCACTCGCGACGAACTTTTCACATATACCAATGGCCGCTTCCTCGTCGATGAGGACCGTCAGTTTTCCCGGCGCTACCGTAAATTCAACTTGGATGCCCTCTGTGATATAGCCGCTGCAGCTGGTGAGAGCACATCTCGAATCATTGCCATTGAGAAGCTCGAAGGAGGTTTCAGCAAGGCCCTTCTAATGAAAAAGGAGGACGGAGGTGAATTGATCGCGAAAGTTCCCTGCCGCATTGCTGGCCCGGCCTTCCTCACGACAGCGTCCGAAGCAGGTACTTTGGAATACAGTACGTATATCCTATACATCTCGTGGATTGTCAAAGCACTCATGCGCCACTTATCAGTCAGAAAGTACACGAGTATCCCTGTTCCCCGTGTCTTTTCTTGGTCGCCACACGACTCAAACACTGTCGGGGCAGAGTATATCGTCATGGAGAAGGCGATTGGGGTTCCATTATTTGAACGATGGGGCAAGATGACAGAAATCGAGAAACTGCAGCTTATAAAGAATTTGACTCAACTTGAGGCTCAATTGTCAGCTATCTCGTTTCCTGCATATGGCGGTTTGTATTTGCGTGCAGATGCAGATCGTTTAAAACACCAAGACCTCGGAGGCAACTTGGACGAACAGTGCCCCTTCTGCATTGGCCCTTCACCTGACCGCTCCTTTGACGTTGATGCGGCAGCTGATCTACCCACCGAGGATGAGTCAATCAACAATGGGCCTTGTAAGCTTTTGTTGTTCTTTACCCATTCAAACTAATGGTTGTGCAGGGAATAGCTTATCAGATCTCGGGATTTCAATTGCCAAACGAGAGCTCTCTCGGATTGCATCACAATTTGCAGACAACCAGTCAATGGCCCATCGGGGAAGCCCCCAAGAACAAATGCATCTCCTGAAAATTACAATCAGCCTGATGGGGATGTTGGATTCGCACCCAGTACTAACCCAACTCGCCAAGCCTACACTCTGGCACACTGACCTCCATATGGGAAATATCTTTGTGGCACCCGATAACAACTCCCAGATTACAGCATTAATCGATGTGCAGTCTCTATCGGTGCTCCCGTTGTTCCTTCAAGCGCGATGGCCAGTGTTCCTGCAGCCCCCTCGGGAATATACTAGAGGCCTTGTCCAGCCTGTGCTCCCCGATGACTTTGATTCTTTAGGCGAAGAAGACAAGGTCGCTGCTTTATGTGACTGGACACAAGCCAAAATGGCGAAAGCGTATGAAGTCTCGACCTTTATAGAGAACAGGCTTGCCCATAACGCCATGAATGTGCCGCGTGTTTTTCGGGAACTCTTCATTCGCACTGGAGAAACGTCTGATGTTGGAGTCGTTCCATTGCGAGAGTGCTTGATTGAAATATTTCAGAACTGGTCGAATCTGGGATTTCCCGGACATTGTCCTTATTCCTTCAGCCAGGAAGATATCGATGCACATAAACAGCAATTTGCTGAATATGAAGAGTGGAATGAGGTCCAGCAGCTCGCTCAGGAATCTCTAGACACCGACGCAGAAGGGTGGGTGGCGCCGCAGCTGGATTTTGTCCAAAAACAACGTCAGAACAAGGAGCTGTTATCGATGTATATTGCGCGAATGGAGGGGAGAAAATCTCCGGCAGAAGTAATGCGGATATGGCCTTTTCCAGAATAACAAAATAAAAAGGACTCGGACACATCGGTTGGCTGGTTTATGAATGAGCGATTTGCACCCAGGGCAAGCATCTGAATTTGATTGAATTGTCTGTGGACAGACGGATATATTTAGAATGCTACTACTGTAACTATGAACATGGAATTGAGTCGTCTCCAGTACAACCAATACGATCCTTTCCTTTCCGTCGGGAAAATTCAAGACGGGAAGTGTGATCAAAATTCTACCTTTTGCTTTTGCTTCTACTACCTCAAACTCATGCTGTAGTTTAGGTTCTGTACACTCAAGGTCTAGACATACTCAATCCGAAAATCCAAACTTCACGTGGCGGGATAAAGACATGACCCAACAAATAAGCGGCAAAAGAAACAGGAACAGGACAGTCGAGAGTTGAACGGATCAGTTACTGGCATTTACATTTTCGTCCACCCATTGGCGTTGTTGCCTTTGGCGAAATGGTCGAGCACAATTGAGCATGTGAATAGCTAGCTGATATTAGGGATATCGACTGTCTTGTACTAGTCAACGTAATTCTCACAAGCATTGGCTTTGTAGTTGAAGATGCATGCTCCAGTCCCGCAAGTTATAATGAAGCATTCTTTGATAATTCTGAGGAGTGGATGGATTGCTAGATGAGATCCAATGAGGAGATCTCTGGATCAGACTTGATGCTGCTCGTGATTGGATGCTACAAGATGAAAAGAGAGGACAGCCTCTGGTATTGGAGTAGAAGTTGTGCAATAATCTGATTTATTTTGGCATTGCGGTTCCCTACAGATGGAGTTGCTTTCGTTGATGAGGATATTTCTGGCACAATGAGAGGTTTGGAAATAACGTGAAACATAAAGCAAATCGCTGGGCCAAATGTGGCCTGACAAAGGTGTGGTACGGCTAGAGCACATTATGATGAAGTTGATAGGCGTCAAAAGCAAGAAAAGACGAAGCTGATTGACAGCTAGCATATCTGAAGAAAAATAATTGCATGAGAAGAAGCATGGCCATTCGATACCTAGACCAATAGTAATTTTTTCCCCCTTGCTGCTTAATGAGTACGGCTTCCGTTGTCCGTACATAAGGGAGAAGGTTGAGAGCGGACTAAGGCCAAACGCCATGGTGAAAGCCATATTGGGCTGAGACTCGAAACAGATCCAACACGGACGGTTCTCAGTAGACCCCGAGTACGAGAACATTTTGAGGGAATAGTTGGGGACGTCCAGGACATAAAACAAAGCCCTGGACGTTATTTGCCTTTGGGCTACGAACATGTCACCGGCCGGGCTTCAAACTTCAGATATCTTGACCATCGTCTTTGCAGGGATTTCAAATCCCTTCCAGTGAACCTCCGACCGAATTCCTCCTCGATACGTTCCCATTCATGTTTTCTGTACACCAATTTACGAAGGAGCTCATCTTCCGCATCCGAGTAAGGCCGGGCCCGTTGGCGGCTGGGGAATGAACGAGATGCTTCTGCTCGAGCCCTTGCCCTGGTTAGAGGGCCTCTGCCCGTGGCGAGCTCGGCGTACCCCAACCTGCTGCACGCGGGCTCCTTCCGACGGTGACACTTTGACCGGGAGATTCTAGATGGGCTACACACGGTAGTCTCAGTCACAGGCTGGGGCCCTCTGCATCCAGAGGAAGTGGCTTGTGATTCTTTATCCAACTGGCAGGAAGCCATCGGGTCCTCTGATCCCAACGTATCGGACGAGCCACTCTTGCTTCCATCAGAAAGCGGGATCATCGGGCTAATCTGACCATTTCGGCCGTTACCGGCAACATTGGGGTGGCTTTCGCCGGGAACGCCTATCCCACGAACTTTGGATGTAGCTGAACTTGTTTCGGAACCGTTATCCACAGTTTTGTGGGCCAGAGAAGCTTCGCAGCTCTCAGCATCACTTCTTCTCCATATCCTGGAGAATAATTCATCCGGGTGGAGCAAGTCGTCGCTATTAATGCTGCTTGTCTCGTCACAGTCATTCTCAAGCCCGGTGACTGAATCTGGGCGGGGCAAGTTCACTGGTAAAGAATGAGCCTCAGGCAGCAATATGTAGTAGACCTGGACGAACCTTCGCCGGATGGACGGATAACGCTATCTGCATGAGGGCTGCTAGACACCCCATTGGAAGAAGCAGTTGCATGATGGTTCGCAAAGGGCCTGTTCTGGCCATTGTTCACAGGGATGGATTTGCCATGCTCAACGTGCTGAGCTGCCACGTCGCGAAGTGCGGTCTTAGGCTGGGGGGAAAGGGGAGTGTAGGCATGGAAGTACATGGAAATTGGAGGTTTCGGAGGCAATGGGTGCTTCATGAGGGTTGGGGAACGTGACCCAGGGAAATTGCAGGGTAAAGGAGAGGGAGTTAAGGGACCATTGTAAGAAATCTGGCGATCCATCTTGGAAAATGAGCAAAAAGTGGGAAGCACTCTGGGGACAAAACTTTTGAGGAAATGGATTATGCTGTCTGCGTAGCTGCGTAATGATTTTCTCGAGCTGGACCAGGGTATTTATAGCCAACAGATCAGGGACCGACTGAGGTTCCAAGACCCATGATTGGGGCTTCAATGGAGTAACACGCCTCCCAAAGCCGGACCGGATGGCCATGGACTAAGCCCGGCCCTGTACTCGTGCTCACGCGCCTCACGCGCCATGAGTCTGGAAAATGATTGTTGTATCCATTTCACTGTGAACCCAGCCAATGCAATCGACCAGCCCATGGAGTTTGCCTGGGATCACGGTCTACCGCAGGGACACTGCAAGGACTACCCATAGAGAGTATATGCTCTAATGCACGGCTCGAACTCCGCCAAGTATCACATCACCACGGAATATAGCCGAGCTTCAACAAGTAGCACCGCAATCTTTCCACATTCGAGTAATGACAGGGCGCACTCGACCGGACGATCGGAGATGAAGGACCAATCGGCCATGAAATCGGTAAGCAAGATGCCGCGAATATGTGAATGGCAATGGCAATGGCGGTGACGGTGACGGTGTGCCGCTGCCGAATAGCCGGCCAGAGCCATGAATGAGGCATTTATGCCATTGGACATGGTCCTCCGAGGCGCAATTTCGTCAGTATCCCAAGTAATCCAATCGCATAGCAGGACACTCGGGATCAACATGGACTGGGGCGAAGACAGAGACGCAGGGACGGGCGACCGCAGGAAACGGGTAAGACGGTGTGAGGGTGAGGGGTAGGAGGAGCAAGCGTAAGCCGCAACGCGTAATCAGCCTTGCAGCCTGTTCGAGCATCAGTCTCTTCGGTCCTTGAATCAGGGAAGGGCGGATGGTAGATGGGTACCTTTGAAAACTGGTAGAGAAAACGAGGTCCCGTACGAACAAGCGACGCATTTTCTAACAGTATAGGCTAAAGGGCAGGCAAATAACCACTAGACAAAAAGGCGGCAAAACAGAAGAGAGAAAATCCGATTCAGCTGAACAGCCGGTCAGAGCTGAAGGGGTGGAGGCGACGGGAAACGAGGGCGCAGCCGCAATTTCCGACAAGGAAAAAGGGAGGTAGGGTGGCGAAGAAGGCAGCAGGCAGCAAGATTTTTCATTTTCGGAGCAGGTGTGACGAGGGGGCGCGATGGGGTGAGTGCAGAATATGGGAGGGGGATTGAGGGAAGAGAAGGGAAATGGGAGGACCAGAGGTAGGAGGTTCTTATATACTCGTCGGAGGTGACGGGCGGTGATGGGCGGTGATGACAGTACGTCGTATCGGGCGACTAAGCCGAAAGCGGCAAAACTAACTGCAACAGGAAATTCACAGGTCCTCGGATTACATCATCCACCACTACCAACGACATCGGTGCCACACCGAAGACAACCTCTTCTCCAACCCAGACAGCTACTACAGAGAACGTCGGCTGGGGCAGCATGATTGAGTCTAGCTTCAAGACTACGATCTATTGTTCTTTCACCGAGCGGTGTGGTCATCCAGATATTTCCTCGCCCTCTCTCCAATCGGCCTGCGAGGCTCTTGTTAAAGATGGGTATGTGGGGTCGTTTCCTCCAGCATGGTGACTCTGGCTAAGTTTAATTCAAGGTGCGCCAACCCATATGTTGGGAGCGACTTTTTTGGCGGAGTGGGATTCACTGCCAATAACAAATTAGCCTCCTGTATGGATTCAGCACCTTTGACAGTCGAGGGCTGCCAGGAAGGGCTCAGACGTGCAGCAAGCTATGTTGACAGCCAAATAGCATTGAAAGGTGACCGGGCGTGTGGAGGCTTCGTAAATATAGCGAATGCGAATGGCGACGAGGCGGGGGCTATTATAGTGAGCGGCACATGCATGCCTGATTATTCCAACATAATCATCCCAGCATAATGGTGCCCACGGGATCATAGAGGATTAGAGGAGTCTGCAGCGGCTTCCCTCCTGAGTGTTTAGTATTGATTGCTCTAAACTCTATAAAATGGCTTTAGTGATGGATGAATCAGGCTCCAGCTAGGTTGTCATCATAGACAAATCAACTCTTGGCACTGTTTTCTCTCACAACTGTAACTGCCCGATATGTTTCTTAGACCTGATATTCTAGCCAGGGTTACCTCGAAACGCCATTATATGCTGTCAAGAAAAAGCACGGAGCTTTGAAGATGATGATAAAATGTTCTACCATAGAAGAGGGATCTGGAGTACGAGCTTGAAGGGCATGTCGGAACCGAACCATCCGGTGACATGCAACGTACAGAAGGGGATGGGAGACATGCCGGGAAGTATCATATCTTCAGCCGTTGCCACAGGCCTGCAACCTATCTTACTATTCTGACCAGGCACATCAAGCTGCCTGTCAAGGTATGGGACCCACCGGAACATATTCCTCGATGGGCTATTAGGACTTGCATTCAACGATGCATGCAGATCAGCAAGAAAGTGTCACTATTCAATGACAAGCAGCAGAATTTGGCGGGTTGAACAGAACTGTATCTCTCAATTAATCTGCTAGGGAGTACATTTGTCTCTGGGCCAGTCAAACCATCCATTTTATAAGTGCTTCAAGAGATTATTAAAGTACCCTTGGAGCTGTCCTTCCGGAAATGCAGGCCTTATACACGTGGAATTATGCCCAAAATAAGTGGCCGTACTGCCATTTTCGCTTTACGCCCTATGTGCTTTCGTATAGTCTGCTTCTGTATCATCGGAAAAGTGGAATCCTCCGGATATTGTATGGGAGGTGAACGCGGCTCTGTATGATGGCTCCTGCTTGCGGCTGATGCGTGGCCGATCCAGATCACGCCCGTACGTCGTCTGCAAATCCATCGGTAAATAGGCCGGTGCAAGACAAAGATCAACAGGAATATCGTAGTTCCTCCAACAGCAGCGCTGACAGACATGCGCAAGCTCCGGCGCGGTATAGTCCGTGCGCACCGAAGACCATCAATCACCGAGCCACTGTAAAGGGATGTTGTTGTTGTTGCCGTATTCGTAGATGTTGGCGTCCTACTTGCTCCGCAAGCATCGCGGTTCCCAAGAGACACAGTAGCTGACACCAGCTGAGCGCTGTTTGCGAAAAGATGTTCTGCAAATTTTCGTATCTTCCCATTAACAACAGCCAAATCGTTTATACATAGCCTCTTTCTGTATAGTATTGCAATATGCGCGAGTACAACGGCGCTGGAAATCCTGATGCTTCATGAACTATGGACAAACCACTAAAATACAAACGGATCTACCACCAACTGGGGGGATCTACACGGTGAAACACAAGTTGCTCACTGCATGAAACGTAAGATATCCACCCACTGGAATCGTCTGCCCGAAAATGCCTTGAGCTTGCGTTCCACGGTGATGATGGAAAGTTGGTCGTTTGAGCAACACACGGCCTGGAAAACCATCCCGGGAGGTTCGGTGGTCACATCTGCTCCGATATTTTAAGTTCACATTTCGTCTATAGCATGCTTTTCACTTCCTCTTGTATCTCTGAATTGACCATACATCTGGACTGATCTTTGTTCCCACATGCGTGGAAGCAGCCCACCCCTATATAGGCGGCTACAGGCTTTGCGGACCACGTTAGGACTTCAAACCTCGCGCACTGCCTAGATAGGTGCCAACAGCCAGGCTACGGTGGCAAGGGAACATGGAATCGCAGAGCATGGTGATCTCGATCCAGGTGTTGTAGATCAGTCTAGTGGAGGTCCCAGCTCGTTGGTAGAAAACAGCGATGGAGGTTGTGGACAAGGACAGGGCTTTGCTCTTCTAAACGAGCACAGTTCTACGTGTCCCCGAATCTGCTTCAGATAACTGCACAGTACAAGTTGACATCATATCTAGACTGTGTGAACGGGTGTAGTGAGTGTGTGGCCCCATGCTATCTACGAGGCTGACGCAGATAAGTGCTTTAGAGTCTAGCCTGCAGGGACTTGCCTAACAATAATACAGAACGACCGGCGTGTCACTGGTGTTAAGTTTCGTGTCCCACAGCATGGAAGCGACCTTTGAACGGCCCTGGCTGGCTTCTCCACTATTCCAGGGCAAAATGCAACACTCATACTTCTCTTTATGACAGAAATACAACCTGACCATTCTACGCTCTTGACTGGACTGCGTTATACCGTGCTATCAAGACTGACGGGCAGATGCCGATGATTCCGGACAGGTTCAACCTGGAGCAGCCGCGGAAGCGGGCCACACTCTTTACCAACCGAAATGCCAGACCCCGGGTAGCTTCCAATGCCAGACAAAGGGCGTCCAGGGGTCGGCACCTCTGAACTCAACTAACCTTGCCGTCAAATATGGTCAAAATCATGTCGCCTGGGACAAATTTACTTTGAGGCACTAGATAACACAGCACTTTCACATGGAGACAATCGTTGACCAGTGACGATGCTCTTTCGGTGACATCCAGACAATCCTACCCCAAAGATGGGGATCTGTAGTAGATTACGATGGCGAATGAGTCTTGTGATACTTCGATTGATGGAGCCCTACAGCAACAACCGAATGGGGTTCTGAACTAGCAGGTCTATCTTTTTGAAGTTTGCTCTAATGCAGCTGATATAGGGCCAAAACACACGATAGCTTTCGTTCGATCGCGATACATGGCGTCGTGTTGGGCTTCGGTGCCGTTTCGGTGCAATCGTGGCCAATTCCAAATCATCGTGCCGTAGTTCCGAACCGCCAACAGGGGCTTCACTTAGGGGGACAAGGCTTTGGCTGGCTCAATTTGGGAGATCGCTCCGCCATCGCCCAGGGTTCCCATATTTTGGGTTGCTCCAGCTCCTTAGTCTTCGGTCATTGCCTTTGCGAATGGCCAGCTCTTGACACAAGCTTCGTATGGTAACTATATGGTGTTGTCTCCTACATCATCTTTTATCATTAATCAGCTGAGACAGAGAAACGCGTCTGGATCTCTGAGGCTAGGAAATGCTTACCAATAATTGGCTACCAGTATCCCGGGATGACCTATTAAACCTTGGTAATCTGGACCAATGACATTGGACAAAGGGTCGTGACCGAAAAGCCTGCCTCTAGTGTCGTCCTGGGAAATTAGCATGACTATCGATTGAACTCGCAATCCAGGGTCTCAGTAGATCTGGTGTCTTTTTGGGACAGGCGAGGTGTCCGCCGATTACCCTAGCATTGCGACAGAATCACTGATGGTTTTCAACGCTCCGAAAGACTTGCCAAAGCTGGAACCCATTCTACCATATTTCCGCAAGAAGGCTGTTCAGCTAGACATTCATGTCTAGCACTGAAAATCGCCGCGGATGACACGTTTTGGAGGATGGTCGACATCTACAAGTCATATAGCTGCTGTTCGACATGCCTCCGTGGGGCCACCCGAGACACCTCACATAGCCTTATTGCCCATATTGCCTGTCCATGGTCTTTTATCTCTTGCAGCCGGTCTATTCACAGGTCGCTCTCACCATTTTCGGGGTATAGAGGTAGCGACCCAGTCTATTCAAAGCGAGCACTGTACCCGATTCATATTCCGTATATAGTACGTCACTGGGTCTCAGCAACCCTGCGAGACAGTGGATTTGGTCCCACCAGCTGCAATCTGGGACCATCGGACTATTGATTCGAGGATGAGCAAACTGACTATAGCGGTAGTGTTCATCGCTATCTCAATTAGAAAGGTCACCGATCCATCTCTCCTATCTAAAATGACCCGAGACTACTGTTGTAGTCTATTCTCATACCAACATGCGTTCGCTCACCACGTCAATGTTCGGAGAACGATCGCAGATCGCAGGCCATCCTCAGGGCATGGCATTGCGTTCGACAGCGTTCTTCATCATCGGCCAGCGTTCGCAGCATACCGCTTGGCCTCCTTCCGTGAATAATGACCGCGCTCGTCCCCATCAGAGCTGTTCTTTAAATCCAGATGGCTTTGTACCGCTGCACAGTGCTGCCTTGATATGGGGGCAGTGGTTGTAGTATTTTTAGATACCCTCTGCGGAGCATGACTGCGAAGGCACTCATCTTTATTTCCCCGTTGCTGACGGGGTAACAAGGATATTTTATTTTGTTTGCTTTAGCACCTAATATGCAGCCGTTGGAATCTAAGCTGTCAACAGTTACCATTCAGTTCACTGACTTTTGTCCGTTTCGTATAAGGGTTTAATACCGGTAGGAAGTATTTTATCGTAGGGAGTCAGCTGGCTGCGACGCCAGGCCAATGGTAGGAGGTACGGCTTTGGCGACAAATCCCTCACAGATAGGCTTAATATGTGCGTGCGCAATACCCTTGGAAGAAGGATCTCATGTGTAGTAATTTGGGATGTTATGAATTGCGCACATATGAGAGAAATCCGTGTATTTGTAATGAGTAATGACCTCTTAAGTGGGACAATAAGAGACCATGTCCACACCGAACGCAATAGCGTCTTATCCTGCTGCAGCAACTGCAAAAGTCTGGCTAAGACAACCACTCGGTAAACTGTAGCTCAGGGATCTTAAGGACGGCAGATCTCCCATAAAAGACGGCCTATGCCCTTGAGAGCTGTGCTTGTGCCCCTGGGGACCAGCAGAAGACTAGTAACACTATTCCCCTGATTCCAGCCACCTGTTAGACGATTTGGAAGTCGCTTTTCCGCAGTTGGGACTTATGGCCATCTTGGCTATTTTCTAGCAGGGTCTTCAGCAGCTTGACATGTATGATCAATATGAGGCCTTGGCTCAAATCCTAATAAACCATGTAGACGCTGCGTGGGCATAGATCTGACATAAGACCAGAACATATACAAAGAGATTAACTAACCAATTCTTTCGCACAAAATAGCATCCCGGCCAGGTTCTCTCTGGCGTGCGCTGATCCTCCCACATGTTCTAATCTTCGTTGCTCTGTGTAAAGAACAGCCAAGCCCTTCCATAACACATGGACAAGCAACGTTTACTGTCTTCGCTGGACGCGAATGATCCCCCGATGTCAAGAGATAAATGGCGGACCGATACGCACGATGGTAGAGGTGCGCTCTCAGGAGAGGAAGGCTCTGTATCCGTTGCAGCCATGTTTCGCCAGCATCAAGAAGACACCAGTACCACTGAGCCTGTCGAGGACTACCAAAATATTGTTCAGGCGCCTACTAAGGTATATTCGCGTTACACTCCCCCCAAGTCACGTTGTGAAGCCACTGTCTGCTGAGCGAGCATAAGCTGAGTAGGACAACAGCGCGAGATGGACCGAGCTTGTGAGAGTTGTTTCCGTCGGAAAGTCAAGGTACGCAATATCGCGAGATACAGGAACGGTTGGATAAAAGGTTAGTAGGCAGAACTTCTAATTCACATGACTGGCAACTAGTGTTCTCGCACCTGTCCTTGCGAAGAGTGCCAAAGACGTGGAAACAAGTGTGTTCCTCGCAGTCGACTGGACCGACGGAAGGAGACCATCATTCTCACATCGCCTACTGGAACCTGTGCGGAACCTCCACAGAATCGCAACAGTCATGCGGACCAGCCTTCCAGAGAAACCATACGAAGTTTCGATGTTCCTGCCAGTGAATTGGTGGAGCGACATCAATGGAGCGCGTCCAATCTGGGCCACGCTATGGACGCCACCATCCCGTGTGACTATATTGCTAAACATGGCCCACCCATCACATGCACTGCAAACGTTACTTTTTGCGAAGAATGGAACATGACTATGAAATATTGTGACAGCAGTCTCCCATGGGAGACTGGTGCGAACACGGGCTGGAGAGCCCCCTGTATCGCGTTCATACCCCCGGACTCGTATACGTCTACAGACAACTTGACTGGGGAGTCTATGCCACATCCATGGTTCTCACCGCTGTGGTGTACAAAGACAAGCTTGCAAACGACATTTTCCGAGCCTTTCAAGGGTTGGAACCGGTCGCAATCCCGGGATCTGATCGGGTCCGAGACCAACTTTTTCTCACCTCTGCCTATTCCTGCTCAGCAGCTCGTGGGATGGCCCTCTGAAGGTGGCGCTGAAGAATCTTGGTATGCGAACAGAAGCGGCGTCATGCCCATTTGCGGAGCCCACTCACAGGAGCAGTACCCTCTGGGCCCTTCCTTTGATCTGCTGGAGCTTATTCCCTCATCCGTTGCAGCCGGGCTCTCTTCTATACCAGAGACTGTGCCACCTAGCTTCCCAAGTTTCCCTGGCGTGCAGCAGGTCGAAGAAACCAGCTTGGCGCTCCCCACCGAATCTCCAATGCTATCGCCTCCCTGGGATCCATTGACGACCACTCCCGCAGAGGCTCACATAGCCGACATCCGCAGCCGCAGCTTGCATCAACAACCATTTGTACCCATGCCTATTCAAAACATCGAGTCGGTAGTACCTCCAAGGCTACACAATGCGATGGATTATCAGGAAACTTATGTTATGCCATTTGTTAATGTCGGTGCGAACGGCCAGGAGTTATCTTGTGATCTCACCGTGCCGGAAGACCAAGTCGAGCATGGCCGCTTGACCTAGGCGTGCGATTACAATGTTCAGAGGACGTTGAAACAATGTTTCGCAATAGGGAAATGGCACCTTTTTCGTGTGGCGTGCTTGCATTATGGTCTAATGATCCTCATCTATCACTGTTTATCCCGTACTATATATCTGCCATAGCACTGAAGTGTATGTTGGTATGTACTATAACGGTCGATTATTGCAGACGAGACCAGCGAATGACACGCGAATCTTCTATTCATAGCTGCCTAGTACGTATGCAATATCACGTCGTATGCGTTGGATTACCTTTGTACTCACGCCCCTCAGTATATGCGGCATGTGCCAGATATGGTATTAGCATGCTTCGCTGGGAGCATCAAATATGAAAGCTACGCCAGGAATTTGACGAGAGATATTTGCCAAACCGAGATGACTTTGATTCGCAGAAGAGGCTCTCAGATGTTATAGCAAATCCCGCACAAACGAAATGCTGTTGTATATAGAGGCTTATGAATTCTTCATTCGTCTTCTTTCATATGTACTCTCCAAAACATCATTCCTATTAGCATTTCCATCATACCGCAACATACTGCATGCTTCAATGTTCATAAAGCTATCCGTGTGTGCTGCACACTTCCAGTGACTTTCGCTTCCACACCCACGCAATGTGTAGACAGGATATATTTTCTGTGTTTCAAAGTTGTGGTTCGTATCATGTACCGGCCAGTGAGTCCTTCTTGAGCGTAAAATATGCGAACCTGAAACCTCGAGCAGCTCCAAAGGCTGATTTGTCCAGTGTCAATTTCAGCTGATGTCGATTTCTGTCCTACGAGGACAGGTCTGTCGTCATTAAGCGACACTCCTGGCCCCCACTGGACTTCTCCCGAAGCCGTCTACCATCGTCTTGATGTAGTTTTACAAAATTCTCTTACCCCGAGAACCAGATCACGACTCTGCTACTTGGATCCACTGCCGTATCTACATCCTATCGCTCCTATATCCCCGTATGTATAAATGGGCCCGCGGAATGGGCATCTGGACGGTCGTTGCTGTGACTGACACAGCCCATCTCATCGCCCATCAAAACACGCCTTCGCTACTTCTATGTCGTCTCAGGTTTTCGCCGCCTGCCGTTGTCCTTTTCAGTGTCTACTGGGCCCTGCGGAGCGATATTAAACACTATGATTGGCGCGGTTATAACCGGCAGTGTCGCGTATTGGACCATGCGCAGCTATCCGCCTGCGGTATTGCCCTCTTCGACGCACGATATCCGAGCTGGCTAGCGCACACGCTACAATGTATCCATTTATTTTACTTTCATTTGGAATCTTGAACGCTTACCAGGTAAGATCGGTGTATATCTTGTTGAGTTTAGTTCTGAAAACTATTTCGCAGTGGCCAGGCAGGAGCTCAGTTCAGACGCGTGGATCCAGAAGCATGGTTATAAATGCTCACTAATCGGATCAATTTGCTTACCACAACTTGTATTTCTGTATCCGAGTGAATCGAACAGTTCAGGGGTAATTTAGGTCTATGACGATATAGCCTATCTATGTAGAGATCACAGAGCTATTCTCGATTGCTTTCGTGGAACACGTGCCCACGTCCCGCGCAGGCCATGGCGTCAAACAATTGCTTAAGAGGCTCCTACCCACCAACAAACGAATAAAGTCCATTCTTTCCCTGGGGCTAGCTCTTCGCTTTACCCACCACAGCTGGGATCCTTTCACGACGGAGGCGGCGGCTGACGTTCAATGAACGCGAACGATCAGGGCGTCAGAGACGCCAAGTATATCGTGTCACAGCGTGAACTGCGCCCTTGAGCAAAGCTAGCTTTCCCACCGTTCCAGGCCGATGCAACGCTCACAATATCTGACATAAATGCAACCTGATCATTCTACGCTCCTGCCTGGATCGCGTTATAGTGAATTATGAAGATCGACAGGCCGATGTCCCTTGCCATTCCAGCAAGGCTCAGCCATAAGCAACCATGAGAGCTCACCACAGCCATTTTAGCCGAAATACCACATCCCGGATAGCCTTCAACGCCAGACAAAGAGCTTTCGGGTGACAGTGTTATGGAACTCGACTGGGCCTGCCGTCAAGGAAAGCCAAAATCCTGCCTCTGGCAAGAAAGCTATTGAGGCACCAGATGGCGAGACCTTTACAGAGACGATCATTCGCTATCTTCGGTCACATCCGGACGATCCTTCCACAGAGACGAGAGTGTCGTAGATCGCGATGGCAAAACAGCCTGTGGCACCACCCAAGGACTTCTCCAGCGACAACAAAGGGAGATCTAGACCACGGGATTCATTTGTTAAAGTTTGGTCTACTGCGACTGGTATAAGTCTAGGGCGCCCGAAAGGATTTCGCTCGATTGCGATCGCATGGCGACGCGTTGGTGTTCGGTGCTGTCCCAGTGCTATGGTAGCGAATTCCAAATTATCGCGCCGTAGTCCCAACACGCGTGTCCTCTTGGGGCGGCAAGGCTCCGGCGGCATTCGAAAGATCACTCCGCGATCGCACGGAGTACTCATATTCTGGGTCGCTCCAGTTGCTTGTTCTTTAGTCTTTGCCCTTGCGAATGGGCAGCACTTGTGCCAAGCTTTCCTGCACTAGCTGCTCGTCTGCACTAACTGCTCGTTGTGGTCTTCTACATCCTCTTCTATACTCAATATGCCCTGACAGGAAATGCGTCTGGGGCTCTAAAGGCTGGGAAATTCTTATCGATGATTGGTTCCCAATTCCCTGGGACAATCTATCAAACCTTGATTATCTGGACCAATCACACTGGAGGGAGGAGTGTGCCCAGGAGATCCTGCCTCCCATGCGGTTCCGGTGATTTACTGTGACTATCGATGGGACTGGCTATTCCGGGGTCTCAAATCTGGGGGATACTTTCTCCGAGCCCTACCTTGAGGGCGACTGACTGATGGCTTTCGAGCCCACTTGGTTCAAGATCCTATTCCGCCATAGTTCCCTAAAAGGCATTCCAACTATGCAAGTGTGTCTTGGAGTGGGAATCGCTGCGGATGGCTCAGATTAGTGGATGCTGGAGATTAACAAGTCCTGTAATTGCTGTTCGGCATGTCTCAGTTGGGCCACCGAGGACGCCCAATACAACCTTGTTGCCTAATTCGGCTGCTTACAAATGGGGATCTCATTCCTTGCGGTCGGTCCACTCACACGTCGCTCTAACTATCGCCGAGTATACCGAAACAGACGCAGCCAATTTCAATCCGGAACCCTACGAACCTTTGTCCGTGACTAGTACGTCGCCTCATTGCAGGGGTCCCTGGGTGCCAGTAGACCACAGTCCCACCAGTCGCGATAGGGAAGAATTCCGCTACTGGTTCAAGATGAGCAAGCGAGAATGTAGTGCCAGTGCTCAAGTTGGAATGAAAGCACTCCGATTCATGCCTACTCTCTATAATGACCCAAAATTGCTGTTGTGGTCCATCCCTATAACAACGTGCGCTCGTTCACCACGTCATTGTTTGGTGACTGACATTTGAATCATCAATCTGCCCCCAAGGAGGGTCTTTTCGTCTAATTCTATGGAGAATGTCCAACCTATATGCAGCCAATTATCCCTCCATATCCGATGAAACCGGGACAGAAATATCTACCTTTCTCCCATCACATCAAGAGGTCTGATATCTGTCTTGCCGCACCCATTCTACCAGCCATGTTTCACACCTGGTACCGCCTGTGCAGATCTCAAGCAGTAGCTCCCGTGCACTTCTGACGTTCCATCCCCAGGCTCTGGGGAATACACCGTGGTAGGCATGCACGGCAACCAGGAGCCATAAATTCTCATATTTTGACGGTCTCAGCGCTTCGATCAGTCTGGCCCTATGGCAATGATTCAGGCCAAAAGCCCCAATCCTGTGGTTTCACAGCCGGTGAGATGATTTCCTCCTGCGCGTCAGCTGGTAGACCAGGCGTACCAACTCGGTGCATGCTGATCTCTGTAGGTATTTGACGGAACCCATGCCTGCGCGAACTCGTTCATCCCGATGGACAATACCGATGCGGACCAAAAACAGCCAGAGCCTTGGTGTCAGGACAACAGAGTCCGACGGTCGAATCGCGCTGTAGCCATGACAAGGAACGGCCAAGTCGAGCACGCAACGTTGAAGCTCAATCTAGACCTACCATGCCCACTCAGCGAATTGGCCAACGGCACGCCGCACACCCCGGTTAGAGACATGTGCGCCTGGGTCGACCGCCCGGTCGAGACACGCCACCAGGAGGCTCTACAACGGCATGGCAAGATTCCACGTCCGATGAACTCATTCATGCTGTACCGGCTGGCGTACAGTGATCGAGCGAAGTACTGGCTCGCCCACGATGATCATCAGGCCATCTCCATCCTCACCGGACGGAGCTGGAAGATGGAACCCCCCCACATCCGTAAGCAGTACAAGACGCTCGCGGTGATGGAGAAACAAAAGCATGCTGGAGCGCACCCGGAACATCGGTTCTCGCCATCAAACAAGAAGAAACGATCGCGGACTGCAAGAGCCCGTTCTCAGAAATTGGTGTTGCGTTTGGAGGCGTTCCCTAAAGTCACCCGAAGCTCTCAGCCTCACGCTGGGTCTACTTCGTTGAACAATGACCGCGTCAGTGGACCCTCCACAGGACCATTCCTTGCAGATGAGGAGACCCTTATCCAAAGGAATCCGTCGAATCCAGCTGTTTTTGGATCATTGCAAAGTGCCGGCTCGGTGTGGTGGCAGGAGATAATCTACTCTCAGATGGCCTCTGCTGGGCAAGTCTCCGCAGGCACCCAACCTTGTGTCCCTGTCGTCACGGGGCAACCGGGGATACCGGACTCTTCTTGCTTTGTTCCCCAATCTGGATGCCCTGGGCTCGAAGAAGGCAATGGTTAGTCTGCTTTACTGACACTGTCTGTTACGTGTGAGGATTGTGAGGTTGACGGGGAATTGCTTATGGAAGGGACTCAGGGGGTTACGGCTGCAGGCCAGTAAGTAGCATATATGGTTTTTACGGCATGTTCATCACATATACATTGGGTATTGGCGTCTAGCCTCAGATGCGAGGATCTCATGCATAATTATTCTCGGTTCTTTCGTACAGTGCGTGTGTAACTCAGAGGCCCGTGTTTGTGTATTGAGCAATGACTTCCAGGAGACCATGTCCGCGCCGAAGGCCATAGGACCTCATTTTCCTGCGGACGACTGTTCGCCGCGACACGTAGGAAGGCGTAGCCCAGGGGCCGTAAGAACAACAGGTCACCCCGGAAAACGGGCCAAGCTCCCGGAAACTGTTTGTGTGCTCCTGGGAGCCAGAATGTTGCTCTTGAGAGCGACACTGCTCCCCTGATTCCTGCCGCTCGTCACAGGAACGGGAAACCGTTTCCTGCCTTTTTGAACATACGGAGGTCACCTTGGCTACTACCGAGCAGACTGTACAGCAGACTGACTGGAGAAGGACATGATCTGCACTTCTATAATTCAAAATGATATTGTATTGGCATGCCGAGCGCTCTTTGTGCGTGATTCGATCGTGCTATATCGCTACTGCGTGATTTGAGTCTGCCCCTCAGACCAGAGCATACTATAAATGATTGACAGGCTAACCATTACGGACACAAACATCCCGACTAGATTCTTTCGGGTATGTGCTAATTTTCCCACCCATCATCACGCGTTTGGCATCTGTGTACCTACCAACCAAGCCATTTGGTCACTCATGGACGAGCAGCGGCCACTGCCTCCGCTGGAGGATTATTATACCCAGGTGTCAAGAGACGCATTGCGGACCGACGAAAGACTTGGCGGAGTTGCAACTGCAGCAGAAGGCTTCGCATCGGTTGCAGCCCCTGTCCGTCAGCAGCCAGAGGACACTAGTGCCACTGAGCCCGTCGAGAATCACCCAAACTTCGATGTGTCTACAGAGGCATGTTGACGTTCCATTCTCCTCAGACCTGCAGCGCGACAACCATAGCGTGCCAAGTGAACATTAGCTGATAGACGGAAATAGCGCAGGGTGGACCGAGCATGTGCGGAGTGCGTTCGTCGGAAAATCAAGGTACGCGAAGCCACAAGGAACTGGGACTCATGGAAAACTGTTGGTCGACAGTGTCTTTGACTAACGTAACAGGCTATTACTGTTCTCGACCCTGGCCCTGCAAACCGTGCCAGGGAAGCGGAAGTACTTGCGTTCCTCGGTCAGATCGACAGAGCGTGAACCATCGTACTATGATGTCTACCGAACCACGCACAGAGAAGTCGCCAGTCAGCAGGGTTTATCCAGACCCGCCCTCTAGTGACATCTCAAGAACGTAAGGGGCTCACGCCAGCGCATCCATCGAGGGATACCGATGGAGCGTGTTCGATATGGGCCGCGCTTCAGATGTCGCCGTCCCAAGAAACAGTGCTGCTGAACGTGGCTCACCCACTACGTGTGCTGCATACGATGGGAACAGCACTCTTCCATACCAAATTGGCGACAATGCAGGCTGGGGGCCCCCATCTGGCGCAATCGCACTCGCGAACTCATATATGCTCGCAGACAACTCGACTAGGGATCCTACGGCGGATCCATGGTACCTGACGCAGTGGGCTATGGAACCATGCTCGTCGGAGGCATTACCCGCATCTTTCTGGGTTTGTGACCTGGTCTCAATCCGAATATCTGACCGGGTCCCAGACCGACGGTTTCTCACATCCGTCTATTCCTGCACCGCAGGCGGCAGGGTGGTCCTTTGGAGGCGAGGCCGAACAGCCTCAGTATCCGACTAGATGCGGGATGATGTACTTCTGGGGAGACGGCTCTCAAGGGTCTACCATCCAAGTCCCTCCTTTGATCCGCCGGAGCCTATTCCCTCGTCTGATGCACTCGGGATACCTTCTATCCTAGAAACTGCGCCACCGAACTTCCCAAGATTTCCTCGCTTGCAGCATGTTGAGGACGGCAGCTTGGCGCTCCCAGCTGAGTCTCCAATGCTATTGCCTCCCTGGGATCCATTGGCGCCTGTTTCCGCAGCACTGCCTATGACGAACTTCCACCGCCGCAGCTTGCACCAGGAACCATCTGCGCCCGTCCATGTGCGGAATTTCGAGTTGCTAGTACCCCCATGGCTACAGACTTGGATGATTTACCATGGAATTTGAGCCAGCTCGTTCGATAACGTCGGTGTTCAATAGCCAGGAGTCATCGTGGAATGTCACGGTGCCGGAAGAGCAGATCGAGCATCGTCCTTCGAGCTAGGCGTATGACTTCAAGAATGCTCACAAGAAACAGGAACCGTTTTTGTAGTAGAGACGTGGGACTTTGCATAAGTGAATGTATGCGAATAATACAATATTACGATATATTAGTGCTTTTCTGTACTACCATTTACCTACGGTGCCGACGATCATATTATACTATCTGCTACTGCTTTATGTCAATAATCAGGACAGCAGTAAACGGCTTACAGACGTTTGCTTCATACCTATTTGCCGCATATGTAACATCATCCCTTCGAACATGACAGGACTAAAGGGGACAGGCTCAAGGTGTACGTTGCTCATAACCGCGTATACCTATTGCCAATCACTACTTTCGCTACCAACAATCGTCAACAAAATGACTGAGCAGCCCTGAGAATTTTCACAACAAGCAATTCTTGTAGAAGGACGTACTCACGAAGACCTTTGATCTCTACACTATACCTCCGCAGTTATATGCTGCAGGTGCCAGATCCGGGACGGTCCCGAATAAACTTGTACGAACCACTGAGAGCATTATAAATTCAAAAGTAATATTTGATCTCAGGCGGAAGATATGGCAGCTACCTGGAGCAGTGTCCTTGCTAAATCCAAGATGTAGCTTGATCAGCGGGAGAAGACGGACTTTGAGTTTCATGTCAAAGCCGGCAAAATATAATGGCTTACATCGCTAGAGGGATATACCTGATTGTCACTTACATTTGCTTTATTTCGCATCTCACGCTAAAGCAGCTAGCAGACAAGAAATAAATCCTCCGTGTCCGGATTGTGATTACTATCATCTATCCATCCACCAAATCTCTCTGGCTGTAGCAAACATGGCCAACACACGTTCAGGAAAGGATACTTCAAAACTCACTGGTGTCGACAAAAACACCAATTCTCGAAAGACCCGTGAAAGAGATGAAATGGCCGCCCAGAGAAGGAAAATTGAAGACAAGCGGAGACAGCGCCAGCAGGAGCTCGAGTCACTCCGGAAGGACTTGCTAGCGGCGGAGAGCCAATTGAAAGGCTCGCAGCTTACCGAGGATGATAGGGCCGAGCTGCAGAACAAGCACAACAATCTTCAACAAGTCATCCAATCTACGGAAGCGGATATCAAGAAAGATGACGAAGATTTGATGGATATTGATACGAAGGAACATGCTGCCACAGGTTCCAATGATCAGGCCCCTGAGAATGGCGCGCCATCGATACAACCACAACCTGTGCCGCCGAACACTTTGTCCCCGAGTGGAGATGAGACGTCGGTGAAGCAGGAACCAGTGGATGCGTCCCATGGACAGGGGCAGGGACAACATAAAAAAGCAGCGCTTCCTGATCCTGATACCGCAAAAGCGTCCGTCGAGGAACCAGATTTGGTCGGAAGTCCGAATCCGAACGAAGATAACGACGGTGAATTACTAGTCCGATTAGATGCATTATCAAAAGATGGCCATTCGAACGACACAGCAGACGCGTGGTTCATGATGCTCGCAGCCGAGAAGCTGATTGTTCGATACGGGCCAAAGCAAGCGTGCAAGTATGTCATCCAATCCGGCAAAGGACACAATTTCGATGGTCTTCCGCAAGTATCCGATCCAGAGTCGCGGCTTTGCTCCATCACGGAGAAAGACAAACGGGGAAAAAACCGCCGTCGCTATGGCCCCGAGAATATCGAAGGGATTGTTGGTGTAGCAATTCTGGAGAGGCCCCCTAAAACGAAAAGCTCTAAGGCGCCAACGACCTATGTGAAGCTCAAGTGGACTAATATCGAAGAGGAAGACAAACATTTATGCCGAGATGGTACCAATTGGATTACACGAACAGATCTCGTCGAAATAACCAATGAGGAACTGG